AGCAGTCATGCAGTGAGGCCTTATTGGAGGAAATACAGGGCAATGTATCAGCAAGAAGGTACATGCTATATGGTTTTTATATACCCAAAAGATCATGTTATGCCAAAGTGTCCATCATCTCCATCCTCTGTAACACACTGAAATGACAGGTTTCCATACTGTTTCAAGTTCTGTAGGTCAAAGATCAACTTCACACTGATAGGTCCAAATTGGGGCTGGTTTATATATAACCCTTAGGCCAGATTTGATTACATGCTAAAGTGAGCTAGGATAAGCACAATTTATAAAAAAAAAGGAAGTGCTGTTATGAATAATTGATGACTCACTCTTATACTTTTGCTATAAAATATATACCGGTATACATTATTTCTTACGAGTCTTAAAATGAGTTTTCTTGTTTCCAGTGTAAATGAATCCAATGACGGTCAGCAGGCTCGCAGCTCTGGGGAGTTTAAGTACGACATGGGATGGCAGAAGCGTGGGTCAGGAAGGGCCTATAACAGTAAATCTGGAGTGGGAACATTAATCGGCAACAAGTCCGGGAAAATATGTGGCTTTGGTGTTCGATCAAAGGATTGTCGCAAATGTTCCTTTCATACAAATATGGGGAAAACTCCTCCAGAACATAAGTGCTGTAAAAATTGGGAGGGCTCGTCAAAAGCAATGGAGAGTAACGTTGCAGTTGAATTAGTGAACAAAATTGAAAAAGAAAATGTTGAAGTATCAGTGTTAGTTATGGATGACGACTGCACAACAATGGCACGAATCAATGAAGAAATTCCACATCCGGTGATCAAATGGAGTGACATTAGTCACACTAAAAAGCATCTTGGTAACAGTTTATACCAACTACAAAAGAAACACAAGAATTTCAACAACAATTGTGTCAAGTATTTTCAAAAATGCTTCTCTTACGCTATTGTACAAAATAAAAATGATACAGAAGCATTAAAGAAAAACCTAAAGCAAATAGTGCCACATGCTTTTGGAGAGCATGACCAGTGTGACTCAAAATGGTGTACTTATAAAACTAATCCTGAAGAGTTCCGCCACAAGTCCCTTCCATCTGGAAAAGATCTACAGGGTGATGAATTAAAAAATGACCTGAACATTATATTTGAAACATTTATCAATAATGCTCACAAGATTTCCCCTGCTGCATCTACTAGAGATGTTGAATCATTCAATAATTCAATTGCTGCAAAAGCCCCCAAAAGACTGCACTATTCTTCATCATCTAGTTTGCAAAATAGAGTTAGTTGTGCAGTAGCAGAGAAAAACATGGGCTCAACATACGTCAACAAAGTTAACGAACTGGTGGGTGTTTCGCCTGGACGAGTTTTTCAAAAACTTGCAGAAAAAAAAGACAAAACGCGCAAACGCAGACTCGCGTATGAAAATACAAGAGAATTCAAAAAAAGAAAACTTGAAAGAAAATTAAAAAACAGTACCATGAATTCCGCTTCTCAAATTCGGGAAGGAGTAACTTATCAGTCATCTGTTGATTTGACACAATCTGACGGCGAGTTTGTCAAAGAAATACCTGCTCCAAGCATTGTACCAACTGTCACTCCATGTATATTACCAAAGAAATATACCTTTGTGTATTGTGACATCGAAACAACATCTCTTAATAAAACGTGTGATATCATTCAGATTGCGGCTGTTTCAGAAAATGGCAAGTTTTCGAAATACATCTTACCTAGTCAACGAATTTCAACAGCAGCTTCTCAAGTCACTGGACTGACTGTTCATGGAAATGTTTTGCATTTGAATGGTACTCCTGTAACATCCGTTTCATTGCAACTTGCATTGGCATCATTTCTGGCATGGTTAGATGATCAAAAGCCTTGTATTTTTGTAGGACATAATTTCTTGAGGTTTGATTTACCTAGGGTCTTACGAAATTTTGAAATTTGTCATTTTCTTCATGCTTTAGAACCAGTTGTATTAGGTGTAGTAGACACACTACTTCTGTTTAGAGAAGTTTATCCTGGTCTGGAAAAATACTCACAAGAGTTTCTTGTTACATATTTTTTAAATGAAAACTATTCAGCTCACAATGCCGAGGATGATGTTCTTGTTCTTCAAAAACTTGTTCAACATGTAAAACCGTGCACTGAAGTTCTTGTACGCCACAGTTCAAGTATGCATACCTTGGTTGAGAAGTACCTTTTTGACAAAATTGTAGATAAAAACTTAAACACCTTGTTAGTTTTATGCAATGATAAGATACTTTCAAAGCAAATGTGTAAAAAGATTGCTGAAAGTGGATTAAACTTAGGTCATCTAAAACTTGCTCACACCAGAGGTGGTTTAAAAACACTCTTGTCTGAAAAATTCGATGGGAAACCTCGAGTAACATCAAAAAAATGTTTACTTGAAAAAGTAAATAAGTATTTTGAAGACAAACAGTAAGGCAAAACAAATTTTAGCTGAATGTAACAATAGACATTAGACGTTTAATTGGCTGTATTTGTACATGTATAGTTTTTTTGCATCTTAGTTTTACAAGCTCTGTATAGCTGTAAACATTTGAATGTATATATGGCCATACCAATTAGAAAAGTAAATAATATTTCTGTAGTTTTTTAATTTCAGCATTTAAGGGACATTATCCCTCTGCTAAGAAGGATAACTTCTTTTTTAAATTTTTCACAAATTCATCATAGATCTAATGTAAATTTGTAAATAAGAAAAACAAAACCCTGTATGTAACCTGCATTATACCACGTTGTATAAGGTTTTGTATTTGGTTTTAAAGTCATTGTTGTGTTCATGAAAATCAATATTAGAAATTTAAAATTTCCATAGTGAAATTTAGAGGAGAGGGTCAGGACCCCTTAAAGAGGAATTTCAGATGTAATATGTTGCATTGGGGTTTTTTTGTAATTGAAATCAAAATCTAAGAAAAAATGTATGTTTTTCTTATGTTGATGCATATTTTACAACCTCTGACATTGAAAAACGTCTAACATCGTGCTAGCAAATGTTGTTTTATTTACTAAATGAATATGATGACCCCCATTTTTCTTTATATCATTATTATCAGTATACTTAAATGTACAATATGTATGAATTTAAAAAAAAATAAATTCGTCAAACTTTTTTATTGACTTTTTAATGCGTAAATTGTATAAATTATGCGAAAACAATGTACATTTGGTTAGATAAATGATAATTTGAAAAATGATATTCTGTTTGTGTTTTTTCTTATATTCAATCAATATCTGAATTCAACATCTTGTTTGTAGTGTATACTGACTTGTATGATAAAATGAAAAAGTTAGAACTCTGATAAATATATAAAAAGTAGTATATTTTTAAGATAGTGTGTAATTGAAAAATGGTCAGAATTTCACTCAATAATTGATTAACGGTCAGTTTTAAAAATTCTTCACAACAAAAAAACTAATCTGATAACCATACCTTTTCTTTTTATATTTGCATAAAGCATACTCTAAGGAAGGAAATATGTAAAAAAGAAAAAAAATAAATTCGGAAAAAAAATTATAGAAATCGTCTTTAAGTATCTTCTAATGCCTCGAGAAATGCTTATAATCATGTCCATTGTCCTGGTAATGAGTAAATTCTATCAGTTCCTTGCCATATTCAGTAGTCATTTCAAAATACTTCAGCAGCTTAGCAATTCGCTATTTTTGTCAAGATATATGCATATACTTATAGAAATCCACTCATTTTAAAGTTTGATTTATTTTTGTTTCAATTAATGAACATGTGTCTAATGCAACAATTTGTTTTCACTGTATATCTCTGAAAAAACTTGTATTTTTATGTATACACATGTAGCAAATAATCCTCTATTGAGACATACACTGTATTCTAAAATTCACTTTTTTGTGTACATAAAAAGATAATGTGAATTAATTAGTCATAAGACACAGATAAACTAAAGCTGGGTCAGCTTGGGTAATAGTAATTATTGAACTATCCATGCTTGTCCAGTCAATGTGTTAATTTTAGTAAAAACATCTCTAATAATTGGCAGTTTAAATGAAAAGTCCACCACTTGTCAAGAAGGTCAATTACTTGTGTAACAGTTCCTTAGCAAATCCATTTTCCACTACCTATAATTATGTCAAGTTTGATTTATAAAGAAAGATGAATAAAAACATGCCGTTGTCCTTGAATATTAAACAAAAATAAATAAAACTTAATGTAATCTAAAGTAATCATAAGTAATCATGATTACATGAAGGAAAAGTAATCAGATGTAATTGATTACTTTAAAAAATGTCTGTAATCAGCTTGTAATCAATTACTTTTAAAATCCAAAGTAATTGTAATTTAATCGATTACTTTTGAAAGTAATCGACCCCATCCCTGTTAAGGAGTAAAGGAGGGAAAGGTCTAAGGGGAAAAGAGTTAAGCTCAGGTGCGCCAAAAACTGACTGGTTACTTTGACTCTTCAAACCATTTGACTAACCAAGTTAACCAAGCAGTTACTGCACACATACCAGAATTCCATCCCTAATTAAGATGATTTGGCAGTCATTTACCAGTGACTGCAGTTACCATAAAATACTATTATATATTCCCAATTAACCGCCACTGGTGAAAATTGTGAAAAGGGGGCTTCTTTTTTTAATTCTCTTTATAATATTTAATGTCATATTTTAACATCAAAAATCTTTTGGAGAAAAATAATAAATTCAAAGTAGCACTAAAATAATGTTTAACTTAATTTACTGTAAGTGTAAATAATTCACCCAAATTATGCTAAATGATTCGCTTTCTATAATACCATGGAACTGGATAATAGACGATTTTCATTTTCACTTTCTTCAAATTTTAGCAGAACTTTTGAAACAATTCTTGTTGTTTATATTCACTGTACAGGGGGCCCTTATTTCCTGACTATTGAACAATTAAGACCTAGGGGGCACTTATAGGGACAGGGGCAGTTAATAGTCTAGGATTTTAACATATCAATTACACTTCAAGAAAACACATAAAAAGATGCTAAAATTTTAACATACTTGTATCTGGTAATTTCTTCCAGGAGCATTCTTTCACACAAACAACTATTCCTTTTGACCAGTCAAAATCTTCAAACTAGAAAAATAAATGATTCTTAGCACCAGTCCAATGAGTGATTTATCATACATATTATTTATCAATTAAATGTACAAACCATAATGAAACAGGTTTTAAATTTTGTCACTAAGAAAATTTAGTAATTTTGGGATGCTTTGAGATATTATGCCCTGTTCACACTGAGAGTTTAATTCGAATTAAACGTAAGTTTACTGCGAATTAGCTTCGCTTTGCGTTCACACGGAGAATTTAATGCGAATTAGTTTACTTCGTATTAGTTTACTGCGCATTAAATTACTTCGCATTAGCTCCGTGTGAACGCTAAGCGAAGCTAATTCGAATTAAATTCTGATGCATGCGTAATGGCAAGATTAAGTCATATGCATCATGTCGGTGGTCAACCTGAAGTGTTTGTACTATTTTTGAGTGAAAATCTAAGAAAAAATGTATTAATCACTAAAATATGTCTCCAGACACTGTGACATTATGTCAAATGCATCTGCTTCTGCATAAGGTGACGTGATTTAGAAATGACGTCATAATAGCCTTCCTCACGCCTGACTGTCAAAGTAAAATTTTAATTCGCATTAGTTTACTTCGCATTAGCTGTCGTGTGAACGCAATTTAATTCGCATTAGTTTGATTCGCATTAGTTTACTTCGCATTAATTTACTGCGAATTAAATTCTCCGTGTGAACAGGGCATTAATGTGCTATAAATGCCAAAATTGAGTCCTTACTAAAATTTTTGCACGTCTACGTTATCACAAATACGTACTACGTACTGACCATGGTAACAAGATGATTCCTTGATGAAATTCAAAGACATAAGATGATCCCTCTATCAATTTTCAATCAGATAAGGCCTATAGTTAAAACATTTTCCATTGACCACTTTCTTCAAACCATTTTCAAAGATAAAAACAACAGGAGACCCAAGGGCCTTATAGGTCACCTGAGTTTCATGTAACAACTTCCAAACAATTGAATTTGGTTCGTGTTTCAAAAAAAAAGCCATGAAATTCAACATTTTGGAAGGGGCACCATTATTCATTATAAATATACAGTTAGCATGCTTACTTTGCTTACTTAATACCCAGATGTAGATCAGAGTAATAAAGAGAAAATGTATTTCCACTTTATGACCACCAGTTGTGCAACCCAACCAACAAGAACCACTGACATTGGGGCCACATATTTCAAAATTTAGGAAATTTTATTATTAGTTTTAAATTTTATTTCTTCATAAATGGTTGATTAAAACCAAAGAGCAGATTTAAAATCTTTAATTTAATTTTCAGTCTTTAAAACTTTGTAACCCCCCCCCCCCCCCCCCACAGTACTCCCAACCCAAGGGCCCTGGAATGAACCATTTTGGAAGAGGCACCTTTCTTCATCATAAATATGTACTTAGATCATTGACATATTACCCAAGAGCAAATGAAAAGAATTTCTAAAGAATTAATGCATTTTCACAATGTAATCATTGGAGCCAGCCCTAACACCAGACCCCCTCACCCAGGGGCCATGAAATTCACAAATTGGGAAGAAGCATCCTTCCTCATCATAACTTTGTTCATAGTTCATTGGTTTAATACACAGGAGCAGAGGAGCAGATTTTTAAAGAATTTATGCATTTTCACTATATATAATCAATAGAGTCCCACCCTAACACCAGAATCCCTGACCCCGGGGCCATGAAAATCCTAATTTAGAAAGAGGCAGCCTTATTCAACGTAATCATGTACTTTATTAGTTTAATTAATACCCACGAGCAGAGAAACAAAGATTTACAAAGATATAATGCATTTTCACTATATTAAATAAATAGAGCCCAACCCTAACACAAGGACCCCTGACCCAGGGGCAATAGAATTCACAATGTTGGAAGAGGCATTCTTGCTCATTATAACTATATATCTAATTTGTTCTTTAATATCCAGGAGCAGAGAAGATTTCAAAGAATTAATACATTTTTACTGCATAATCATTAATCAATGGAGCCCCACCCTAACACCAGAACCCCTGACCCTGGGGCCATCCATGGAATTCACAATTTTTGAAGAGGCGCACGACGGACGATGACGGACAAAAACTGATAGCAATAGGTCACCTAAGTTTGTTCAGGTGACCAAATAAATGATAACAATAATTTATGAAAATAATAACAATACATTTATGACAATTTTGCCTCTTACTTGCTCATTAAGATCAGATGTCAAGCACAAATTGACTCCCTCTTTCTGATCACGGATGGAAATTTCTTTAATAAAAAATTGCTTATTACTCCTCGAGTTAGTCTTAGTCTCTACATCCTTTGTTTTTGTGATGACTCCCACGATATCTACAAAGTGTTCAAAAAGATTATCATTTTATCATCTGACAGGTCTGATAAAGAAATTATCATAATAAATTATTTATTATAATATTTTCTTGACTTTAATGTTCTCCCAGTAGGATTTGTCTGGGTAAAATTGATTCAGCTATTCAAGGTTTTCTGTAAATTTAAGCATTTATGTCTAATCTTAGCAATTACAGGTTTCTTTTTATGACTGGAACTTCAATTCTGAGAAATACTAGATCGATAAATCCAGTCTTTGGTCAAGTTTTTTCCCCCTAAGTAAGCAAGTTATTTAAATTTATATAAATTGTTGTATGAAATTCGTAATAAGAATAAATTATCTCTAAAGGTAAATAAAGTGCCCCGATACACCCGTCAAATATTGTTCAATTATTATCAGCAGTTTAGAGTGTAAAAAATCATGACTGTCAACTTTGATACAAGGATTTCTATGCTGTTTTCATTTCTAATATTTAAGGATTAACTGTCTTATTTAAATAATTTCATAATGTGATCAATGGATTGGCTTGTGTCATAATTTGCATAAACACCAAAGGCATTTATGCAGAAAATTATCACGCAAGCCAATCTACTGATTATCGTCATGAAATTGATAAATCTGACAGCTATTCCTTAAACACCCAATTTTATGTTAACGCCCCCAAAGTCTACCTGATTCAAGATCAATAGTTTACCGCCTGTCAATCATTAAAAAAAACAATAGCTTCTGATTTGATTGACAGGTCAGCTACCTGTGCTTCATGTTTATCTGAGTTTGCATGTTTTGAAAACAATTACCTGGTCACGCGTCAAACACTTTCATGTACCCGCATAGTATACACGCGGATTAGAAAACTCCAATATGTTTGAATTTTATTTCAAAAAATAATTGAAAGTAGATTATTTAAACACTGACATAATAAAATATTTCTTTTCTATCTTCACTGCTGTTGGTTACTTGTAAGTGCTATATCATCCATGTTTATCTGTATCCGCGTCCACAGAAACCGGCTCTATTTGCCGTAATTAGAAGTCCGATGAATTAAATTATATTTTTAAGAAATGGGATATAAGAAAAATATTCAGCACTAATAAACGGCTTAGCATAGTTTTTTAAAAGATGTTTTATTTTGTATTATGGCTACAATCCACACGATGTTGTACAGAAATTGATGTCAGAATTAATGTTCGAATTTCCTCTAGCGTCTGTATATATATATATATATATATATATATATATATATATATATATATATATATATATATATGAAAAGGTGAAGATAATTCATAGTGATCGATCCTAAAAAAAAATTCTTGGAACAATAAAATTATTGTCGTTAACTCTCGAACAATCGGAGATATTGCATATTTTGCGATTACATTGTTGGTCAGAAAATTAAAAAAAAGTCTTCCGATCGCGGTAAACGTACACATTCACGGCGGATAGGGGTGACCTAAAAGGATTTAATTTTTTTATTCATTTAACGAAAGCATTTTATAAAATATATATCGTATTTCCTTCAGAAGATTACGATAATATTATTGATATGTAGTTTTTAATGGTTAATTTTTCTTTTATGTAAGAAAAAATTTTCTAAAAATGATATACTTGTATCTTATTATTTTTTTTCCTTCAAAACATTACCATGATTTCGATGAACGCGTTTAGTTTACAAATAAATTCCATATTAAAATAATTATTTTACGTAGTTTTACTCAAAACCAGACACAAAACACGTAATATTGACCCTGATTACCAAACACAGACTTCTTGTGTAATGCTACGTATACACAGATTTTTGACATCTTGGGTATTGGGGGTCTCCAGGTAAATAACACCACTGTTACTTTGACCACTCCCCCTCCTCAGGTAACCGTACGGTAAAAAAATTGGGTCTTTAAAGTTACATGGTACTGATTCTGCCAATCCACGTGCTACAAGCCCCACTTCTTGTTCCTATTTGTCCCGCCCTGCGTATTTTTTTTTAAACCGCGCCTATTGATGAACCAGTGCATTGATGAGGAAATAAAGTACATTGACTATTTGTAATATTGTCTCTGACAAAGATATTGGAAATGTAGATATTTGTTTATACACCAGCTAGACAAATATCCATCTAAGCCACCACCCCCCTCCACTCCCCCAGATTTATAAAAGAAAAAAAGCATGTGTTACTTTATAAGTTTGCTCTTTATGTTAAAACATGCAAATTTTGTTTTAAAATGATAAAGGACACCTTGTACATTCAAGACTTACCAAACTTTGTTGAAGCCGTTTGATCTCTATACTTTCGTACAACATTTAGTTTCTTGGGTTTTAAATTGACTGATCTTCTTTCGGCTTCTGAATCTGATGAATCAGAATTTTCATGGTCATCATCCAAATGATAAACTCTCTTAGTGACAGCATCTTTAAATTCTGCGTTTCCTTTGAAGATCAGTTGAAACTCATGGTTGGTTTTATTATTTGCAGTATGGGCTTTTCTAATGTCTGCTCCACTTACACAATACTTCTGTTCAATATCAAAAAGATCTAAATGTACATGCACAGTATGGCCCGATGTGACTAATTAAGCAGATGTTTCAGATTTACTAAAATAATATAACCTGTTATCGTATCTGTTTCAATGATATGTACAGATATACTGTATTAAAGTCTGTTCAATTAAAAAAATTGTCATTATTTAATTAAAAGTTGTTTCATTTCCAATTTGTTTCATGTAAAAGATTTTTTTACTAAATATGTGAACAAAGAAAAATAGAACATATATATGCAGTCAAATTAATAAATGATTTTAACAGACAATTGATCTTACTACCATGGGTAATCTAGGAACACAACTGATAAAATTCAATCAGCTAGAACATGCAGAAAAGTGCTATTGTGCCTAAGGCCAAACAAAAAAATAACTTTGTTTACTGTTACATGCTGAAATAAAATAGGGTCGGTAGGTAGGAATTTTTTTTTATTTTATTGAATTTTTTTAATACACAAATTCACATGAATTGGTTGAATTACAGAACAGTTTTACCATTGTACCGTGCCTTAATTTTGTTTGGGCTTGTAATATGGGTGGTAGACAATATAATCTTTCTTACCAACTGCCTTACAACTCAGGGGTGGGCAATTAAAAAAAAAATCAAGTACTAACCCACACGCTTGTAACAACAATAAAATTATTAGTCCGAAGTTAAAAGTGACCAGTCCAAAACTGTAAAAACTAATATTTTAAAAAGTTCACAGTTGAGAAAGGTAGGGTCCTAAGCCATTCCTTTTAAAGTTGAAGTTTAAAACTTTTAAGAAATTATCTTTTCTTTTCTGAACATATTGCACTACTCTAACTTATCTAAAATGATGCAAAAATCATTTTATTTTCATTTCAAACCATTAAGTATAATTGATATATATTAAAGTTTAATCACATAACACTTAACTATCATTTGATTTGGGGATCGTATATAATTGAAAGAGATATCTGCATGTATTTACCATTAACAGAGGAATGGAGGAAATTTGGATTAGGAAAAATCGATCGTTTTTTAAGCAAATAAATTAAATAAGTCAGGTAGTACTGCAAAATGGATGAGATTAAAGTGATTTAAGAGCAGTAGGAGCATACTGCCTGGAAAATTTTCATTAGTTAGAAATTAAAAAGCAAAACAATGAGTGAAAATATCGTTTGTGTTTCTCATGTATTTACATGCATAATTTTAATTTTATTTTTACTACCCCCCAAAAAACGGTAGCTCCGGGTGTTGGGCAATGCTAGTTGCACACCCCTGCAACTGCCACGCAATGGTAAGCAAATTGCAACGAACTCGTTGATGTAGAAATTGAACTCACTTGTTTTGTTTCTGTACTTTCAATTTCGATTTCAAAGTTGAATGTAAAAGTTAAACTGACCGGCCAGTAACTTCCGGATTTTTATGACGAAAAAAAGTTTGGTTCGGCGATTAAGGTGGCTCATTACATCCACAGTTTATTTTAGATTTCAATACGGCACCATTTATAATGTAGATGTCAAATATCCAGATGGGGGTATTGATATCATAAATATTTTTTATAGAATTTTTTAGTTTTTGTTTTATTTTAGTGAAATGTTTTATTTCAGGTTTATTATTGACAGAATTTCAAAACTTTCAGTGTCAAATGATGGGCATCTTCTTAAGACAAGTACACAAAGTGAAAATACCTCATAATACCTGATAATAATTTTATTAGAAAAAATAATTTTCTCCTAAAAAACAATTAATGTCCTTATCTTTTTAATCTATGCATAAAACGTTAAGAAAATGGTCTCTGAAGAGACAAGGAATGTATTTCAATGAATTACATGTGTCAAATTGAATGAAGAATGTTTAAACGAAATGAAAAATCCAATTTAAAAAATATTTGGTATAAAAAGTCCACTTTCAAGAGTTATCTTTCCTAATTAGCCAAGACTCAAAACACTATGGAACGTTTGACATTACATCTGAAATTCATATTAAAGCTTTAAATTGCCAGAGTATACATTTAAATCAATAAAACAAATATATAGATTAACACCAACACAGTAAATAGCGCAATTAAATAAAATTTTAATTTCAACAAGGTTGTAGATTTCAACTCGAATTTCTTCCATACATAAATGTCAGTGATTGATAGAGTTCACTGCATGCATGGCTATGAAATTGACATTACTTGTTTGCCGAAGATTTGACTGTTGCTTTCTTTTGTTTCTGCCTAAAAGCAATTCTTGGTTTATGCATAATGAATCCGTTACTTTGTTTTCACTGTTTACAACACCGCATGTTACATCTATTTTTAAAGCGTTTTAAAGGTCAGGGTCATATTATAGAGGTTCCTACACTACTCGTTCCCTGAGCAAACCGGCCGACACAATGGAGGTATATTTTTTTGTGTAGTACGTCATCAAAAAGTGGTGTAATGAGCCTCCTTAAAATTAGGGTCGGTCGGGTAACCGTAAACAAACATATTTTTTTGTTACGCCTAATGGACGCATGTGAGCTAAAACTTACCTTCTTGTTCCTTATTTTAGTAGACAACCTTTCTGCAAATTTGTTAAAAGCAATTCCTTTAATGGACCCTGATTTATCCTGTAGTATGACACTAAATACCCTGAGGCCTCCTTCTCCATGTTCTCCAGATTTGATGGTCTTGACTTCTTTTTCCTCAAACGATACTGTGGCATGTATCTTCCAGCTAGAAAAAATTCAATCATCTCATTCTTATTACCATTATTACTAGGCATTAACATGAGAAACATCATAAAGATGAAGATTAAACAGGTACAGAAATTTAGATTTCAGTTATTCGTGGAGTAGTAAGAATATTTTTCATCAGAGTAAGCACTGCTCACTCTCTGGTTTTGCAATTAATGCGACTTATAATATCATGTGACTTCATGTGACATCCGAGTCTAGATGTTCAAAATTTCACATGGAATTTGATTAGCCTGATCTAAATTAAAAATGATTAAGTATCTGCTCTTGCCGTAACAGTCACACCGTCAACATATTATATTATTAAATATTATAAAATAAAGACAAACATGCCATACACATCATAATGTATGGTTGTGTAAATATATTATGATCGAAGAAGAAAATAGTAATGGACATTTTGTTAGTGGCCTCAGCACATTCCCCTCAATTTCAAAGTGTAAATGAGTGCGATTCTGGGGAGGGGGTACTCCGTGTAATTTGTAGGGCTGTGTATTGAGCAAAAAAATTCGACATGATACAATATTTTAGAAAGCAATATTCCATATATTGGATTCTTTAATAAGTCTATAAAACATAGGTAATCAAAGATTACGAATCTCACCTCTACAAATGTTATCAGTTTAAGTAATGCAAATCTCACATCATATTTTCTTAAGTATATTGGATTCAATTACTTGTAAAGATGTTTCTCTACACAAGGGTCTATGGCTGGATAGTGTACTTTATCAAACTGCTGTAGTAAATGGGTTTGAAAAATTGGACTTGGGAATGGAAATATGATGAAAAGAAGTCAAATTTACAAAAATAATGAAAACATGTACATTATATACTTATGAAAAAAAAAAGATAAGTCCTTTCACTTCGAAGTTCCGAATGACAATGAAGACTGAATGAGAAGTGAACGGTGAACGCAAAGTATATGGAACAAAGAGCAAACGTTTTGTGAACAGTGAACGCGAGCACACGGTGAACGCAATACTGTGAACGAAGAGCGAATCGTGAATGCATGCTGAACAAACGCTGAACGAACAGAAAAATGGGAAAGTAGAACGTTTCAGGGACTGTAGTTCTCGCTGCCTTAATCATGTTAATTCATTGCAATTTTCAAACATCTCTGTCGCCTCATTGTGACGTCATGTTAGCGCATGTTTCTCTGTGTATTTCTATGCATGAGTATACACGAAAATGGTATTCAAATCAAATTCACTGTTGACCATGTTGGCATACTAGAAAAAAAAACAACAAATGTAAATATTCTAAAAATGCTGAATAAGTATCTGCGCTTGCCCTAACGGTGACACTGTCAACATACTTTACCCCATCTCTGTTGATTTTTCCATGAAATCCTAGCTTACGATTGGTTGAAGTCTGATGGAGGTGGATTACTTACACCCGGTCAATTGTAAATGTATACCCATGCAGTCAATGTATTACATAACAAACACAACATGACGTCATAATAGGCACAGTATAAGCATGTTGAAGCATGTATAGCAGAAAAACACATTAAATAAATATACACCACAGATAATACGTAAATGTTTCATCGGTGGGGTAAATTCGTTACATATAGTCTTTTAGTGACAATTACTAGGATACAGGATGATACCTGGTTAGTAAATTTCATACCAGACTCGGCTCTGCCTCGCAAGGTATGGAATTTACTAACTAGGTATCATCCCATACACTGTCACTAAAAGACTTATATGTAACTAATAATACAAGTATTACTATACTAAACTTTTCACATTCTTCTTTTCATTAAAAAAGAGACCAAAAATCACAATTTAATGACTATTAATGTTTATACTTGGGGGGTTTCAAAACCAATCCAAAGCAGAGATAGTTTGGAGCATAACATGTAATTCCATTCACTGTTTGATTAAAATTGTCCTCTCTATTGGGTGTGGTCAGAGGCACATGACTGATTATGATTACTTAACATTGTGCTGAATATTTACCGAAGGGCGACCTATTTTCATGTTAACCAGAACTGGACTTCTTTGTCATTTCATTCATGATTCAAAGAGTCATCTACGCAAGCCAAGGGTTTTCGGTCCGTAACTCTCCACAAACGAGTGTTACATACTGAAAACCCTTGGCTTGCGAAGTAGCTGCAGATCTGTAGCGTTATCATGGTTATGGTTTTATATATTTTTCTTTGACCATAACGCTACAGATCCCGTAATGCAAATAAAGTGCCACGCCACAGCATGATACGCCTGTCAAAAATTTTCAATTACATTGTATCTTAAACAGTTAAAAGTGCAGAAAAATCATTTCAACCTTGATTTTAAGATTTCAGTGATTTTTAGACTTCTTAAAAAATTTGTTTATTCATCCCCTGTGGTATAGGCATTAATTATAACAAATATTGCATCATTCATAGATTTCTATACCTTGCCAAATGCCTTTCATATTAAACAATATCTAATTAGTCTTCACAATTTTATCTATACTTAATTTTGGAAATAAAAGGCTGGCCATCAAATATAAACTGACCAATAGTTCTTCTGTCTAATTCCCGAAGGATGCAGATAAAATCATGCTCTTAAGAAATGAAAGAGACATGCAGCTAGCCTTCCTACATTGAACACATTAATTAATCTTTAACTGGATGCTTGTCTACTCATTACTCCCAAAAGATTATTGGATCTGCACAATTACCATAAACATTTTTAAAACATATAAAACAACAATGATTTTTTTTTTAGATTTAATGTCAGACAGTTAATTGTTAATATGCAATTCATATGGACATGCAGATTCCACCCCTACCCCCATAAAATTAATTTTTAAGTTTATAATATTATGTAATATCAAAATAGTTTCATATGCAATATCAAATTAGTTTTAATTACTTCTCATCAAATTCATTTTCAACCTTTGGCTAGCCAACAAGATCTATTTTTAATCCAACAGGCTTACCCATTTGGCCCAATACTCAAGGGATATAGATAGCACCGATGCCCTGACAGCTACACCTCACACTAAACTCATTAATTTTCCTCTCTAATTTGACATGCAATTTTCTGTTATCAAAATTCTTCTTGACCAGTGCTAGATAATTAGACTCATGGGAGAGGTGGAATTTCTCTAACCTTCATTATATTTGTTTAGATTGCTGTCAAGTTTATGCTAAAAAAATAAGTATTTTCTTGATTTAACATTTTTCTAATAAGGTTAGTGCAATAGTTTTACATTTATTGAATGTGTAAATGAATAGAAAAAAAAAGACATTTTTTTTAAAAATTCCTTTCAAATTAAAGGTCACAGTGACCTTAAAATAGGTCGCGACACACCTTCTACCTAAGATGCATAAACTGGCCAAATTTGATGATTCTAGGTCTAATAGTTTTCTAGTTATGGACCGGACAGGATTTTTCCATATTTGTCTATAACTTTTTAATTATAGGTCAGAGCGACCTACTTTTTGTGCGCGACACACCTTCTACCCAAGATGTATCAGCTGACAAAGTTTGATAACTCTAGGCCTTATAGTATTAAAGTTATGAGCCGGACACGAGAAAAGCTAACAGACGGACAGACGGACGGACAGACGGACGGACACGAAGCCTATAACATAATACGTCCCGCCTTAAGACGGGCGTATAAAAAGGTGCAATTTACAGCGCAATATTTTTGCGCTCTTTTGAAGAGAATTTCTCCACTTTTTAGCATGGTCAATCAACTACCTTTTACTCCCTAAGTCTAGACAAACTATGTAGCCAATATGTATATTTTATCCACCTCCCAACCATTTATAGTCGTCTCCACAGGCAGTAAACTCGCTTGAAGTGAATTTTAAGCAATCTAACAAATAATTTTAATCCAGCAAGTTTATCACTTGTAGAGACGACTATAAAGTGTTGGGATATGGATAAAATATAGATTACTTAAATAATGTGCCTAGAAATAGGAAGTGAAAGGTAGTTAATTGACCGATGCTGGAAAGATGAGAAATTCTCCACAAAAGAGCGCAAAAAATATTGCGCCGTAAATTGCACCTTTTTTGCATTACGGGATCTGTAGCGTTATGGTCAAAGACAAATCATATAAAACCATAATGCTACAGATCTGCAGCTACTTGCGAAGATGTCAAGGAGTAGGCCTATATTGTCATACATAGCCCCAAGACTTTCAGAACTTTGATTGCAATTACACAGAAAAATACAATTCTTCAGTAGTATATAGGTCCCTGTCAAGAGTAATTTTCAAATGAATTGTTTTCAGATGAGATCAAAGTTGAAAATGATCACTGCAAAATGAGATTTTCTGCACATCCTGAGAAAAATGTTTTTTTTTTGTTTGTTTTTTTTTTTTGGTAGTGTAGCGAGTGTGCAAACGGGTCTGGCACAGGCACCTGTGGATTGCGGCTATAATCACCTGTTAAGCTCTTCATTCAACTCTGAAATCTTTACCGAGCGAGTTGTGTTGCGTTTTGCCATAGCTATTATTACACTAGACTCCTAGACTTACACCAAAAAATTTGAATTCGCGGGAAGAAGAATAGGTAAATTACAAATTTCAACCGTCCAAGAAACCGGATAAATGAAGCGGTAGCTGGGGGGTTCGACCCCTTGTTAGTTCATCCCCCATAGACATTAATTACTTTATAGGCGCAGGTCAAGAAATTTTTCAAAAGGAGGGTTGAAGGATTTTTCAAAGGTGGAGGGTTGAATGGGGATGGGGAAAAGTGTTATTATAACGTATGTTTTACATGTAGTTATTTAATTCAATGGGTGGAGTATGGTTTTTAAAAGTGGGGGGTTGTTCAACCGATGAATGTCAGACTGCTCGGCCCAACGACACCTCGGCCCATTGACACCTCGGCTCCCACGGCTCGGCCCAAATTTAAAGACACCTCGGCTCACATAAAAGACTGCTCGGCCCAAACAAAAATATATCATTTTAATTAAACATATTTATTATTTATGCTGTTATATATCTATGAAATGCAAAAGAAAATTAATTTGATACATTTGCAATCTTCCAAGACGGCAATATTTCACGGTAATTAAAGAAAGACAATGCATTAGTAACTTGATTATATATATGCTAATCATTAAACAAACAAGAAGACGCAGTGCAATACCTTTAAAGTCTCGAGCGCGTGTCATAGGGGAGTGTTGACTGTGGGGCCGTTAATGAAAAGTTCCTGTAAGAAACCATTGTTGATTACCGGCCGCCAGGAGGCGGTCGGTTATATGATATGAAAGTTTGAAGTCGCTCTGCGTTTCTGCGGAGTTAAAGCAATTTAAATAAAAATATTTTTAACATTAATATAATAGTATATTAAAAAGAGCGTCTACATGTTTACCAAGAACGCACAATAAAAATAATTTTTTTTTATAAAGAATGAGGTAAATATTTCATCCAATCCTGGGGCCCGTTTCACAAAACTATATTATGACTAAGATCTGTCCTAAGACCGAAAATTATCGTAAGATTGCACAATAGCCGTTTCACAAAACTGTCATATCTTATGATAATCGTAAGATCTATCATAATCTTAAGACAACTAGATACATGTCTTAAGTCTAAAGTGAAACTTGCGACAGTATGTATTTTGGCTAAAAACCGAAGGATATTTAAAGAAAACGGTTTTTTAGAGATAGAACAATTCTTTGGACTATAACAGTGACACTCCCACCCACCCCCCACCCACCCCCCCAAAAAAAATGCCAAAAAATATATGATTGAAAAACTAAAATGTATAAATGTACCTACTTTATGTATTTCCACTTTATTCATTTCAAGAAATTTTCTTTGGTTGTGCCCCCTCCCAACTGATTTGCACCCCCAAAAAACCCAAATGCTTCTTTGGACCATGTGTATTTTTTATGGATTTGATAAGTCCATGAATTTTACTTTAATTTATTTTGTTACATTGTGGCAGACAATATATAAATGGTTTTTATATGTTTCTAACTGTGGTGATTTAATTTCAATTTAAACATTTTATTCAGTCGTACAAAATTAGATGAGGTATCCTTATTAATCCACATGAATGTGTATGACAATGCAATATGTTGTAATATTTGATGCTGTATGCACTTGCTTTCTTTATGCCTTTTCTTAACAATATTGAAACCCTAAAAATTTGAATTGAATTTTTTCTTTTGTTTCTCTTCTTCGTCTGTTAGCATTGTTATTTTGTTGCAGTAGTTGAAGCGTTTCAAAGACACAAAAAAAATCTTACGACTAAATCTAAAATTTTACCACACTTTCTTTTTTTTAATTTGATTAAAATATTTTTCTAAATAATTGAATGAAATTTATTCATAAAATATTTCTGTAATGTAATAGAAAGATTTTCGCAGCTTAAATAATGTTGTAGAATTGTAGAATGGTGGAGAAGTTTTGCTCTTAGTTTTAAGATTTTTTGTGAAAAGGGCTACTGCATCGAATAAATTTAATGAACGAACTTTGAACACAATTTGGTGTTTCAAATGGATTAATTGAAAAAATCTTCCATTATTTGCAAAGCTTCATATACAGTAGTAGTTTTAATTAAAAGTGATCACATGCATTTTGTCAAAAAACTTCTATTTCCCGAGCAAAAAGACATTTCAGCAAATTTTATTAATTTTTTTTGATGAAATTAATTCAAATTTAATTTTAATGACCCCCTCCCCTTCCCAACACATACACAAAGTACATGAACTTTATTTGATGGAATAAATTTTGGGGGGTTTTTCGAGGGTTTATCTGCAAAAGAAACTATATGAGACACGCATTATTTCAATATTTCAAAGAAAATTTAAGAAAGACCTCGTGAAAACTTTTTTTTAAATCCCTGTGATATTGAAGAATGGAATATGTCTTAAGACTTGTCTTAAGATTTCTTATACTTAAGATAGTTTTGTGAAACAGCAGTGACAAATCTTATGATTGTCATAAGTCAGATCTTAAGATGATCGTAAGATCTATCTTAGGATAAATCTTACGATAGTTTTGTGAAACGCGGCCCTGATTGAGAAACTTTTACATGTTTGAGGTGCGGAGAAAATTAGGACATGTGTTGGGCATAGTCTAAAGCAAAGACCGCGTTACGTATATTGCACAATTTTACTTTCTCTATTTAAACAGGATTTGTTGTACGTATTTATTTTAAAATGACGTGTACACATGTACATATATAAACATTTTCACAAATATGGTTAAATGTTAATTCATCAAAAGACCTAGAAGGCTACAGAATATTACAAGATTTGGCCTAGCAGACGAGGATAATGCACGTTTTACAATGTGCCAAGAATTTTCCCGCTACAACTCAAAGGGTATATTCGATTAAGCGACACGAGTTACACGAGTCACTAGAGTTGTAAATAAAACAACCTATCTTCGACACGGGTGACCAACTCGTGTTACGCGAGTATACTCCTCAGTTTACCTGGAGTAACAGGTGGAAAAAATGGCGGGAAGTGAAGTCGCATTGCAAATGCGAAAACTGTTTCGGTGTTTGTATAATTAGAAATTAAACGCTACCCCACACTATTTTCCAAACACAACTCTCTACTTTTAAAAAATCTTCATTGAAAGTCCACCGATCCCTCCTCCTTTTTGTTACAATAAAGCCAAGCAAGAGTGAAGTCGTATTTTATGAATAAAGAAAGAGGGCGTATAAGGCGTGAACAATCCCCCGCTCGGAGACAAAATGTTTCTCAATTTTCAAAATTCACAGAAAAGTTATATTTTTCTAAAATCATGTTCTCAGTAATGTCATCTTCAAAACCTTTTATCATTTAATTTTACTGAACGACTTATTATTTGATAGTCTTTATTTCAAAGTTGTCCGTTAAGCATATTTAGTGGAAAATGGGTTTACTAGAGCTACAAAAAATGACCTTTGAATATGAATGGGTCAAGTCTCCATTCTTCTTTAACGCTTAAATGATGGAAACCGAAATGAGAAATCTATTTCATTTGTCCAAAAAATGGAATCTAAACCCATTCTATATGAAAATCGAAAATTTCTGAAAAAATTTACACTTCAACAAACCCGTTCATTTAAATCACAATGACAGACGTCGATAACGCATGATATACTTCGTAGCGTAGTGAAAGCAGTCGGTCTCAGACGAAACCCTGCGCTTAGTATGGAAAGAGTTCGAATCATACGTGAAGCCTTTTCTTTTTTGTTTTCACATATCTTAAAAACATAAGTGAAAAATATAGTATTAATAAAATATTAAAACAATGAAATACAGAATTAAATGTGTAAAACATGATATAAATAATATAATTTTGAAAAATGTAACCTTTAGAATTGAGAAATGTCTTTTCTCAGAGCGGGAGATTGTCCTCGCCTTGTACGCCTCCATTCTTTGGTGCTGAAGAAAATGGGACCTACATCCCCCTCCTCCAACTAAATAGGATTTTCTAGTATGAGTAATGTCTTTTTTATTGTCAAGTTTTTTTTTGTGGCTCCCCCACCCCTTTTTTCCAAAAAGACGATACGCAACTATCATAAGTACGACGGCGTATTAGTGCCATTTTAACAATGTAGAAATTTATTTTTAAATCGTTTGTACGATTTAATAAACCGTTTGTACGATTTAGTAAATCGTTTGTACGATTTAGTAAATCGTTTGTACGATTTAATAAATCGTTTGTACGATTTAGTAAATCGTTTGTACAATTTAGTAAATCGTTTGTACGATTTAATAAATCGTTTGTACAATTTTGTAAATCGTTTGTACAATTTAATAAATCGTTTGTACAATTTGTTTGTTAAATCGTTTGTACAATTTATTAAATCGTTTGTACAATTTATTAAATCGTTTGTACGATTTAATAAATCGTTTGTACGATTTAATAAATCGTTTGTACGATTTAATAAATCGTTTGTACAATTTAGTAAATCGTTTGTACGATTTAATAAATCGTTTGTACAATTTAATAAATCGTTTGTACAATTTGTTTGTTAAATCGTTTGTACAATTTATTAAATCGTTTGTACAATTTATTAAATCGTTTGTACGATTTAGTAAATCGTTTGAACGATTTAATAAATCGTTTGTACAATTTAATAAATCGTTTGTACAATTTGTTTGTTAAATCGTTTGTACGATTTATTAAATCGTTTGTACAATTTATTAAATCGTTTGTACGATTTAGTAAATCGTTTGTACGATTTAATAAATCGTTTGTACGATTTAGTAAATCGTTTGTACGATTTAATAAATCGTTTGTACAATTTAGTAAATCGTTTGTACGATTTAATAAATCGTTTGTACAATTTAATAAATCGTTTGTACAATTTGTTTGTTAAATCGTTTGTACAATTTATTAAATCGTTTGTACGATTTAGTAAATCGTTTGTACGATTTAATAAATCGTTTGTACGATTTAGTAAATCGTTTGTACGATTTAATAAATCGTTTGTACGATTTAGTAAATCGTTTGTACGATTTAATAAATCGTTTGTACGATTTAATAAATCGTTTGTACAATTTAATAAATCGTTTGTACAATTTGTTTGTTAAATCGTTTGTACAATTTATT